ACATTTTCCATGGTGTGCATGCATGTGTGTATGTATAGGTTAGCCTAGTGTGCAGGATGTGAAAAAAGAGGACGCCTTTCCTGTGCTTCCTCCCTCTCCCAGCATTATTGTGTATAGGGGTGTGGAAGAGAAGGAGGAAGCGGACACAGTGGAAGTGTGGGCTGAAAAGTGTGTGCATATGCTGAGGGTGAAGGTGTCTGCAGGAGACGGGTGAATGGGAGTAAGAGCTATGCATGGAGGGTAGAGGGACGCAGAGTAGGAGAGCAAAACAGTGATCATAAAGACTTCCGTAGCGCAGATGCACAACTCAGGGGGCTGACTTAACACTGAGTGGGCAATTTTATTGTATCATTTTTTGGCTTTGCAACCACAGGTTTCTTCTAATTTGGATAGAATACATTAATAGAGAAAGGGAAGTGTTTATCATTGATAATATTTAGCAGTAGTCATCAAGCAGATTAACTTTCTTAAATTGCATCTCCTGATAGGATGCATATTGCTTATGGGTGAGCAGGAAAGTTAGTCCAGCATTATTGCTTCCTTTTGCTGTTGCTTCAAAGAAGATGAGGCATGGTGAGAGTCATCAGGCTGATCAGTCTCCCGTAGGAGGACTGAAACCTCAGTAGCCATAATGGCAAGGAAGAAAGCTTTTGAGTGAGGAGGCACCCCAGTAGGTCACTACAAGGCTGAATTAATAGAGTGAATTCTTTCTGTTCTCTGCTGCTGTTGAACTTGAAGATCCTCGGGGAATAAAAACCTTGATGGAAGAGCATGGCTGGCTTGAAAGACTCTTTTGTTGCGACTGTTAGACTCACTGAACCATTCCTTCTCCTTATAGACTTCTAACACCATTTCTTATAGTCTGCTATGTAGGAAATTGAGTCTATTTTTGTTTAAATACTTGGGTAATAGAGTCTGCTGTTTAGTGAAAGATTTATGTAAATGGATTTTTGTTTCACACGATTGGGCCTTACAGAGTGCAAGTTACATTGATAATGTAATTACACCACTACTTCTGCCATTTCAGAGCAGCATGTTGCATAGAAGCCTCCAATTTCACTACAAAATAGGAGTTTTAAAACCTTGCAGTTCCTTTTTAATGGGATTTTTATTCAGCAGCAACCAAAATAAAAATACATGGTAGAAGAGGTGTCCTGCAAGTAATTTATGACTACTTGCAAATTAGGATTTTATAATCCTAGTAGTTGCTGGCTTCTGGATGTAATTTCTTCACCTTCCCTCAATCTTTATGCTTGTCTAATGCCAATCTTTATCTGGCATTCAGTATTTTCTCATTTGGCATTGGTATTAGTATCTAGACTTCTGTTTAATTTACTGCAGTCAACAATGCTCAGAGGTATCGCTTGCTTTAAGATTTGAATTTGAGACTCAGTTCATGTAAAGGCTGATTATTTATAGTAATGAGTATACTCAACCGTTCTTCTAATAGAGGCGTTTTAAAAATCCCAAAATGGCTTTCCTCACCTTTAGCACTCCTCTTTTTTCAATCTAAAACATTAGCTAGGGCATCCAAATGAGTCCATGTGCTAGAAACAGCGGATACAATTTCTATATCTTGGTCATTTGTGGAGTCAGAGTTAGCTTTTCCTTCATTCAGTCCTTAAATGACTGGTTTCCATCACTTTATTTAAAGGAGATCATTCTTCCCTGGAAGTATTAGGTCCCTTATCTGAGGGCTGCAAGCCAGTCTCTAGTGTAGAACAGTGTTTGCACCCACTGCACAGGACCAGTCCTGGCACAAAATGACACCTTTAGGTGTCCAGGTATTTCAGGACAGTGAAAAGTAGCACACCCTACTGTGTAATTCAGATGTACAGTAGCTTTCATGATTTTCTGTATCTTGCTGTATGGTTTCAAGATATTGATGGGACAGTAAGCCTGCTTAGCAGGATTTAATGGGTACCGTACTGCAGAAACCCAGGGTGCAATACATCTTTAAGGTAGCTTGCCAGGGATGGAATTGGCCCGTGGAATCGTGAAACTCGTGAAAGCTACATTAGCTGTGATTTGAGCCATGTGATGCAGGTCAAAAGTTTACATCTTATTCTCTTTCTGTTTTGAAGGTATTCTGGATAAGTCTTGAAAATGTCATCTTAATTATTGAAGGATGTATGTTTTCTTTAATGTTCTTAAGATTTGCAAAGCAAACCTCACCACAGGCATTGAGATGTACATTTAAATATTGTATAATTCCTTTACTTTGTGAACGTTTTAGCTAATTTAAGGGGGTGCTAAAGACTGATGACACAATGCTGGGTTTTGTTTGTTTGTTTTTTACCTCTTGAGAGAGATGGTGAAAATGTGTATTGATTTTACAAGTGAATGTTAGCAATTTTCTCTTACCCAAGTGACAAATGGTGATGTTTACTTTTACATTTTCACCTAGTATCCCAGTCCCATGGAGAAAAATGTCACGGCTGTAAAAACAGTTGAAGAGAAAAATGGTAAGCGGCTTGCTTTTGCTTGCAGTGCTGATTAATGTATTGCTTGTATTTCAGTAGTGCCCCACCATGAATCAACCAGGGCTCCATTGTGCCAGGTTCTGTGCAAGGCCAGAACAAAATGATGCCCTCCCACCTCAGATCCATATGCATGCTACTTCTGGATTTTGAGCTGTTTCAGGGACTGAAAAGCATGACTTGGCTAATGTCTCAGTTGTACTTGTTCCCTGTGTATCAATCCTTTGCATTGGTGTAAGGACATCCATCTTTAAGGAGCAGATTTAAGGCCCATTGAACTTCAGTAGGCTTTGGATACTTTACTTCTGGTGAGAGAGGGCAGTATATAAGAAGAAACAGTCCCAAGCTTCAGTGATTCACCCAGAAATTTTTCCCATTCCCCAGTAAAACTCAAATGAAATGGGCAGTTGAGACTTGTCATCAAATGGAGAGGAAGAACGACCCAGTGCTTAAAATAGAGGCTGGGACTTGAGAGATGTCACTTGAGAGGTTTGTGT